GAACTTGTTTACACCAAAATTTAGCCGGCCAGGAAATATCATTGGCAAGGAACGACGCGAGGTGCATCACGTGCGTACTAGAAAGGAAAGGAAATATTCTTTAGTATATTTGGAGATGTATGACGTCTAGGAGCTCTTCATCGGCAAGAAAATATTATATTTTGGGAGAAGCATGATGTCCAAAGTCTCCTCACGTGAAGATATGGAAGAAGCAAGAGAGGCTAGAAGAATTGGTAATTTTATTGCCAATGGAGTCCACAGAAGGAAGCCATACAAACGTTAATTGTGAAGCACATCAGCCGTCGGCTCTTCTTCTTGTCTAGACGAACAAAAGACACGTCAGTCAAGGAAGCTTTATTAGCGGATTCTACAAAAGGGGAAACTAGAGTCCATGTATCTTAAAATTTCCTTTTTATCTTGTTAGGCAAGTTTCGTACTAGATCACCACATGACCAACTAGGATTGTCTTAGGCCTCAGGGTATAAATATAAACCCCGGCTATTGTAATCAAGGGATCCACACATCAATAAAAATCAGTCTTTACTTTTTTGGCTTCACACCAACTCTCAGCAAACAGGGCTACATCGACTGATCGACCTCCAGTTTGCTTGTGAGTATCGTCACGACTTGTATTGTGCTTGTAAAGCTACATCAGCTAATTGATCTTTTAGGAGCCATAATATAAGTTAGTTATCGATCTGTATTATAGTTTGTAAGGCTGCATCAGCTGTTTGATCTCTTACGAATCATAATATAGATCAAAGTTATTGATCTTGTGTTAAATAACTTGTTGTTTGATACAATATCACCAGTTATCGAATCTGCTAAGATTAGTAAGACTTTCCTTGCTGTTTTTAGTTGATTCACCGGTTATCGATTTTGCTATAATTAGTGTTTTATTAATTATAACAAAATCACCCGATTGATATAGAGATAGATCGGCATCACATCATATTTAATTGGTCATCCTCTGATCTGGTCATGCTTCAAATGTTATATTCGATGGCTTAATTCTGCTAGATCAGTTGTTTTATCTCTATTCTAGTCAAACATAGTATGTATCCAAAGACATGTTTCAATCTTGAATAAACTCACTAGTTAATGAGATCTAATCTAATGACACTACCATAGCTGCATCGATCCGGTCAAACCTCACTGATAAGACTTTGGATTAGAGAGTATCGATTAGTGGCTTTGTTCTTGATCGAGATATGTACTCTATTTGTTTGCTATGCATGCATCGGCTATTTTAGCTGATTCGCCTGCGCTTTCACACATATAGCATGTTTTTCATGAACCTATCAATATATAGATGGTTTTATAGATTTTTTGGCTTTATTTTGTTATCATTATCATAGCTGTATCGATCCGATCGAACCTCACTGTTGATGGTAACAGATTAGGATCAGAGCATTTGTAGATTTATTTGTACTAGACAGTCGATTTGTTCGCATGTTATATCCTTTTTCATCAAACTTATCGGCTCAACGTTTTATATCGATCATGTTCTATTTAGCCGATGATTTTTTCTGATGTTCCATGAGCATCGTTTATTTCGATTCGTATCATTATCGTTTAATATTAGCCGATAATCCTTTATTCAAAGATCTTCATTCCATGAATACGCTGGATATCGACTATTTAGTCGATAGCCCATTGAATCGCTTATTTGGCCACATATTGGAACTGTCTGGTGCAACACTGACACGTTCCACCTTAAACTACTGATTATTCTCTCCTTGTCAATTGCAGGGTTAAATTTACTGGCACGCCTTTGGTCTCGAAACCGACTTTTCTTGTGTTGAAGCTAAGCAGATCTTCGGGCTCACTCCGTCAAGATCATCCGGCTTGCTGTGTGTTAATTACATCGCCACATTTTTGTGTCAACAGAACTGTATATAATAAAATACCATACCCGATGTTCCTCCATCAGCCTCAATCATGTTTGCAGATTTCTTCTTGGGCTTCCACTTACCATCTGAACAATCCTTAGTATAATGCCCAGGCTTGCCACAAGTGTGCTTTTGTTTGAGTTCTTGCTAGAATTTCTTCTTATGGGAGTGTTGGGGATTTTTCTGCACCACATGAGCATTAGAACCTCCCTCAACAGTTCTACTTGGACGCATGCTGCTAGAATTCATGTATGGAAGAAACTACAAAAAGAACAGGGCGTATCGTTGTAGGCTTCGTGTCTACTAGTACGTGTCATTACTCCACCATGTAGATCATCATGTTTCAAGGAGCGTTCAATGTGGTTATAGTATGAAGATCCAGCAAGTAATCCAGGGTGTGTCAGTGCGTCTACTGGTCCCAAGGAGTTAATGCATCTCCTGGAGACATGCAGGATACATGCTACATGTGCAAATCTGATTCCAAGGAGTTGGATTTGTTGATGAAGCAGACCGACAATCATACAACAGATGAGTAGCCGATAGTCATGTCGCCTTGCAGACAACCGGTAAGTCTCAATGAATGCTGTAAAGATACAGGAATCGGCTATTGGAGAGCTGAATCGACTTTTCAAGAAAGGGATGGGCTCAATACAATATTTTTGGTTCAAAATGCATGTTGATGCCAATGGATCAAGACATCAATGCAAGCCGATGGAGCCTTTTATTCAGTTGGATTCGAGAGAATACATCACCAGACTCCAGTGCATCACATATGACTTGCTTGGTGAATGAAGACACTTGTACACATGATAAGAGAAAGCAAACAAGGGACAGGCCAGATGAACAACACATAACATGAGTCATGTCTTTACCTAACTCATGGATGGAGGCGTCTCGGCAAATACATGTGATTTCTTTTTGCAGTTGGAAATTTAAAAATTTAGATGGGAATTAATTGTTTGGCCGGAAAGCTCTGTACAGAAGTCAGATATCGGTATCAACCATGCAAGGCCAAACAAAGTAAGGGGGAGTAGGAAAGCGAATTGGACTTATGCTCTCTCATCGGTTATTTCATCACTGCTGTCCGTTATTCCCTCACTTCCAACATCTCCAAGACTAGATATATAGCTGATGGGATTAAAGTTGTCCAATGAAATTTTGAGCCAATGAAATTATTTTATCAAGAGCGATTGATAAATTTCCATCGGATTGGGTTATATGGCTTGTTCATGTTTGATGGCATATGTGCGAGAACACGACTACAAAGATGGGTGGATGGCTATATTAGTATTTGGCATGGATACTCAGAAGGATGTTATGCTTTGCCCGAGTTAACTAGAAGGATCTGAGTCTAGCCTATTTTCCAAAGAAACATGTTGTGTGGTATACAACATCAAGTCAACTATAGTACATTGATCGTCGGACAGGCCATCTGAGATATCGGCTGGGAGAATAGTAAGTCATAATCTTAATTTGAGTTGTAGTGTAGGCCAATGATATATAAGCATATTATATTCCATCGGCCGAAATAAAATGTAGTATCCGTCTGAATATAATACAATCACATATGGTATGAAGATGCGAGGAAACAAAGCTGGAAGCCATAAGAAACCAAAGACATTACCATCAGCACACATCTGAGTAGAGAAGATCATCAGCTAGTGATTACTATTGGTGTACAGCTGATAGAAGGAGATTGTCAGCCGAAAGTTATTGTCAGCACACAAAAAATAAGCTCCAAGTATTGATAAGCGCTTAGAGTATATTTAAATATCATGGTGGCTAGAATATTTTATTGGCATCTCAGCTGATGAATATATTATGTGCATCGATTTGGCATGGTGTTATTAGCTGGTCACATGCAGATAACTATGGTTAATGGCAAGAAAGAAGCTAATGTTCATGCCCATCGGCTACGTAGCCGATTATAATTATAGACTCAAGGTAGCTCCTAATCGGCTAAAGCAGGTGAATGGTCAGGAGTTCTAGAGGATTGAATCCAAGCAAGTCATCAAGGATATCGGCTCATGAAGACCGATTGCAAGATGTAGAGGAAGATCAATTTTAGAGTTATCAAGAACTAAAGGAAGATAATTTTGAAGCATGAGTTCTTCCACCCGAGCAGGCGAACTCGTAGATGGCAAGCATTTCGGAGGCCTACTCTCCCAGGACTCGTGCGCGCAAGTACTAGGACGGAGAAACTCTGAGGCAACGGAAGAGTGGTTGTTGCCAGCGAACCGAAAGATTGACGGAAGGGAGGCACTATTTAGTCACTTGCGGGGTAAGCGAGGCACTATTTAGTCACTAGCGGGGTAAGCGAAAGGGCTTAGGAGGAGTTCAAGAGACAGGTGACGAGAGAGCTCTCGCCATCATCGATCAGCGGCGGTAACGGAGAAACTCCCGTCATCAAATCGCCACCAATTAAAAACGGAAGAAACTGTCGTAATTATGCGACTTGATTGGTAAAGCACGGCCCCATCCGTCCGTCTGCTTGCTCGCCACCTGCCTCGCCTCGCCTCCCCCACGCCCACGGCCACACCGCGCGTGCGTGTGTGGCACACCAGTGTCCTTTTCTCAACTTTTCAATATAGGTGGACAATATCCAACCATATAAATTGAGTTACCATTCAATCAAAATACCGTATGGTATTAAACCATAATCAGCATATTATTTATTACACGCCATAGAGTTTATTTGATTTATTAAATATTATACGGCTCAAGCCCATAATATATCCAACTGGAAACAGTGCCAAGTCACTTGAATGGCGAAATGATTAAAGCTTGACAAAGTAGTGGATTTGTATTGGGCTGGTGATGAGAGCCTAATTTTAGTTAATTCATTCAGGGTGGCCTATGCGAAACCCATCGTTCTCATTGTCTTATATTTTTTCTAAAAACGTAAGAGCTTTGAGTTCTTCGTTTTTTGTTTTGTCAATAGGAAATTAAACCGAATCCTGAAACTCGTTTTTGTGTGAAGCGAAGCGAATCCTCAGTAGAAAGACACACAGGCGTGGTATAGCAAGTCCGAGTGGAATGGCTGGCTGTGCAGACGGAGCTGCAGACTTTGTTTTAGACGGAAATAAATCTTTCAGTAGGTTTAAGGGCTTATGCGATGTGTTTGCAGTCCGGGTTGCCCACCTTCCCTCCGTCGCACAAGCAAGCCAGGAATTCCCTGTTCGGGTTATAGGCGCAGTGCCCTTCCGACCTCTCGCACTGCTGACACTGATCCGCTGTGATACGGCTACATTCCAACTCGAACCCACGCTTAAGCACGTCTCCGTATCCGCCACTTGTGAAGTTACTCAGGTTACTTGCCGCTGCTCTCAGAACATCGCCTATCACTGGCACGGTGACAACCTTGCTGCAGTTCGTAGCCAGTTCCTGCTCCAGATGCTTGCCAGTGTCAAGCTCACCAGGCGTGAGCACGAAGGAGTCTCCTGGGCTAGCATCTGGCGGACTCTCATCGAAGCTGACGTTGTGGCCAACTGCGGGGCAGCTGCCGCCGACGAACACGTCGCTGTCGGCCAGAATGATGGTGTGGATGTCGTAGAAGATGTGCTGAACGTTGTATTTCTCACCGCCGAGACTGATGACCGGGGTCTCGGTCGGCCCCTCGACTTGGCAGGAAATCTTCAGGTCGGTGTAGCCGCAGGAGTACTTGTATCCGTGATCGGTGGTCCCGTCGGCGAGGTAGAAGGGATAGCTGATATTGACGCCGCCGCACTTGAGCGACTCCGAGCAAATCGAACTGTCATAGGTGGTCGGGAGCGAAGGAGGAATGGCATGGGAGGCGGGGACGTGGACATGGACGACGAGGAAGACGAAGAGGAGGATGCGGAGACGTGGCACTTGTAGGTTAGCAGCCATGGTGGCGAGAAGATGAGGTGTTGGGCTCATCTGACTGTTTTGTTAGCTCCAACTGGGCTGGGCACGACGCGTTTGGTTCCTTGTGGCTTGCGGCCGACGCCATTTATAGGTCTCGCGGACTTGACCGGGTTTCGGCGAAGGTTAGATGCTGGTGGGCCGGCCGGAGGTGGGGCACGGATTGAGACTTGAGGCGCTCGAAGACTTAGGGCTCATTCGTTTAGCCCTTATTCCCCCAGGATTCATTCCAGGAGATTAAATATAGTATAAAATTTGCACAACATTCCAGGTTGGAATCAATCCTGGCGTCCATTCCGTATTAACTGAACAGCCCCTTAAGCAGCGTGGACTTGGCGGTCTTCTCGGTCCGTGCCAAGCCGTTTGATCAGTGATCGTCGGCTGCCTGCTACGTCATCCCTAGGCTTGATCGTCCAGGCAAGATACCATTTTTAACCTACTAAGGAAACTTCTTGTCAACTTCAGGGAGAGAGACCTTAGTGAAAACGGTTCTGTTTGCAGTGCCAATCTACCATTTCACGGTGTTCCATGCACAGAAATGGTTGATCAAAAGCATCGACAAATTACGGCGTAGCTTCCTCTGGAGAGGAGAAACACCTGAAAATGTCAGCGGTGGACATTCTTTGATCAACTGGCCTACCACATGTCGACCAAAGGAGAAGGGAGGGCTAGGCATTTTGGACCTTGAGAGGTTCACTGGGGCTCTCAGATTAACATGGCTGAGGTTCAAATGGAAACAAAAACAAAGAGCGTGGAACAGTTTGGTGATCCCTTGCGACAAATATGATCATGATCTTTTCAATGCATCAACTGTAGTCAACGTTGGAGATGGAAAAACAGCAGCATTCTGGACCTCTCCCTGGATAGAGGGAAATACCGCAAAAAACATTGCACCAAGCTTGTATCAAAAAACATGTCGGAAAAAAATCACAGTCCAAAAGGCTTTGACCAATAACAAATGGATCGATCACATTTACCCTCCTAGCACATGAGAGGAAGTAATAGATTTTGTACACCTTTGGGAGGCCATCAGGGGACACCCAGCTGAACCCTATGGCGGAGGACGAAATTAAATGGCGATGGACAAAAAGTGGGGAATACACTACAAAAAGTGTTTATTGCATACAATTCGAAGGCTCATTCAGTAAAATTCAAATTGCGCCGATCTGGAAGGCTAGAACTGAGCCGAAATGTAGGTTAAGCTCTTCGTCTGGACTTTATTGCATAAGAAGATACTTGCGGCAAAAAAACTAATGAAGCGCGGATGGGATAATGATCCAATTTGCAAATTATGCGGGATTGAACAAGAAACACCTACTCACCTTTGTAAGGACTGTCCATACACAAAGGAGGTCTAGGAGGTCATCAAGCTATGGTTCCATCTATCGGTTTTGAACACAGTGAACACAAGTGGATCACTGCATCAGTGCTGGCGAAAATGCAGGAGAAAGGTGGACAAAAATCAAAGAAGGAAGTTGGATGGGATAATAATCTACTTTTGGTGGAATATTTGGAAGGAAAGAAACCGACAAACTTTCCAACAAAGAGCTTTGTTAATTGATGAACTTGTGCTGCAAAAAATGGGTTTCTTAAGATCTTCTTATGCTTTTAATTCTATGCGGAAAGTGGTTTCTATAAAGATATGTGTTTTTTTAGCTGAAAGTACTTCTCTATAATTTTTTTTGGGCTGAAAGTACTTTGTCAATAGGAAACCTAATCCTGAAACTCATTTTAGTCTGAAACAAAGCCTCATCTATCTATTATCTATTATGCCTAAATAGGAGATCCCCACTGGCAGATTTCTCTGCAATATCCTGCAGCCACGTCGTCAAGTCCACTAGCGTCCTCCTCTCCCTCTCCTCTCCCGAGTCCGCTGGACTCCGATTATGGGGGTATGATCCCTGATACCCACAGGGTTGTACATGGGCCGAGCCGCTAGGTGAGGCCCAGTCCACAAGACTGCGCATGGGTCGCGCCACTAGTGGAGGCCCAACTTACAAGACGACGCCACATGAGGCACGACACAGGTCGGCGTGCTCGCAAGACTGCGTGAAGATCCTCGATGATCTAGAAAACCTGCTCGGATATGCTAGATCTTGTAATATCTGTAACTTCCTATCTTGTAAATCGATCAGGATAGAAACAACCGATCTGTAACCCTACCTCCTGGCTATATAAGGCGGGTAGAGACCCCCTTGTTTTCATCTGATCATACGCAATACAACCCACCGAAAGACACATGACGTAGGGTATTACGCCAAGTCAGCGGCCTGAACCTGACTAATCGTTGTCTCTTGCGTTCTGTGTCACTGTCCGGTTCCCTCACGCGCACCTCCACCGATTCATGCACTACTATGGGTATACCCCTCGGTAGACTGTCGGCTAGATTTCATCGACAGTGGCGCGCCAGGTAGGGGGTGTGCATGCTAAATTCATGGCGAACTAGATGGTCACCTTTCCGAGCTCCATGGCCCTTCCCGCTGTAAGGTCGAGATGGCGGACTAGAGGGGGTGGTGAATAGTCCTTTCTAAAAATAATCGCGTCGGCTAACCGAAACAAGTGTGGAATTAAAACTATCGGTCTAGCCAAGACTACACCCCTCTATCTATGTTCTTTAGCACCTTCCAAAGATACTAATTAAGCAACAAAGGTGCCAGGATAGCTAGAGCCCACCTAACCAATTCTAGAGGCAAGGTCACACAATCCTATGCCACTAATACTTCAAGCAACACGGGAGCTCCTACACAAGCTAGTAAGCAAAGGCACAAAGCCACCTAAGCTCACTAGCAATGCTCAATAACAAGGCAACCAATGCCAAATTAGAGAGCGCAATTACTTAGCTACACAAACTAAGCAATGTGACTAACAAGGTTACACAAACCAAATTAGCCACACAAGGGAGCTACTTCTATGCTACACAAGCAAGAAGGTAACTAGTAAGTTACACAAGCTAACTAATTACAAGAGCAACTACACAAGCACAATGTATATGAAATATAAATACAAGCTTGTGAAAGGGGATTGCAAACCAACGAGAAGAACAAGGTTGACATGGTGATTTTTCTCCCGAGGTTCACGTGCTTGCCAACACGCTAGTCCCCCGTTGTGTCGACCGCTCACTTGGTGGCTCGGCGGCTAATTGGCATCACCCGCCAAGCCCGCACGTCGAGCACCGCAAGAACCTACCCCAAAAGAGAGGGTAGCTCAATGACACGCTTTACTAGAGTTGCTCTTCGCGGCTCCCGCAGGGCGAGCACAATGCCCCTCACAAAGCTCTTCTCCGGAGCACCGCACAAGCTTCTTGCAGGCTTCGACGGAGACCACCACCAAGCCATCTAGGAGGTGGCAACCTCCAAGAGTAACAAGCACCACCGGCTTGCAACTCGATCACCTAGTGCCACTCGATGCAACCTCACGATGCAATCGCACTAGAATCGCTCTCTCACACAATCGGATTATCACTATCAAGCATATGTGAGATGGAGGGCTCCCAAGCACTCTCAAGCATGGACACAAAGTCCCCCGAGGTGCTCAACACCAGCCATGGCTGAGACACCCTTCTATTTATAGCCCCACGGGCTAAACTACTCGTTACCCCTTCACTGGCCGTTTTTTGGGTTGACCGGACGCGCCGGTCATATCGAACGGACGCAGGACCTCAGCGTCCGATTAACGGATGCTTGCCATGTGTTGCCACCATTCAACCTCAGTCGCTTGATCTCAATGGTCAAGTGATGACCGGATGCAGCTGCTCAAAGTGACCGGACGCAGCAACCCCAGCGTCTGGTCGTTTCTAGTAAGGTACCAGTTGCGACCGGACGTGTCCGGTCGATCACGATTGGACGCAGCATCAGCGTCCGGTCCTTCTCCACCTTCTCTGCGTCGCCTACGTCACCGTATGCTAGCCTGACCGGACGCACCCTGCCAGCGTCTGGTCACTTTTAGCGCCAGCGTCCGGTTGAAGACCGACGCCTGTACGCTCTCTGCTGCCACTGACCGGACGCAGGACCCCAGCGTCCGGTCACCACATGACCAGCGTCCGGTCCACTCTGTGAGACCCTATCTTTTCTGTATAGGGCGCCGGTGGCACCGTCGGACTGTCCACACTCTACGGGCGGACACTCCGCCGGTGGAGTTTCTAACCCTTCTCGCCTCCGTTTCATTGTCGAGTTGATCCTCATCAACTCCAACTTCATCTCCTTTATAAATGTGTCAACACCACCAAGTGTACACCACCATGTGTATGTGTGTTAGCATTTTCACAATCATTTTCCAAAGGATTAGCCACTCAACTTGCCACGCCACTCAATCCTAGCGACGATGTAGAGTTAGATCACTCAAGTGGCACTAGATGACCGATATGCAAACAAGTTTGCCCCTCTTGATAGTATGACCATCTATCCTAAACCCGGTCATCAACTTCTCTACACACCTATGACCGGTGAACTGAAATGCCCTAGGTTATACCTTTGCCTTGCGCATTCCATTCCATCTCCTCCAATGTCGATGCAACACATGCACCAACATGATCGACAATGATATGATCCACTTCATATCATCGTGTGATCATATTGGTTCATCGATTTTGACTTCACTTGCTTTTCACCGTTGCCTTCGTCCATCAGTGCCAAGTCTTGCTCAAGCTTCACCGCCACGCGGTCCATCTCTCCAAAGCCTCTGACTTGCCCTTCACGCTTGCAACCGGTCCATCAAGCCAAGTCTTGTCTTGATCTTCTCCACCTTGATCACATGACTCAATGTCATGTCTCATGTGCAATAAGCTCCTTCATCATCACATGTGTGAGCTTTGCAACATCTCCAAGCCATTTTCACCTTCATGGCATATGTTGCTCACACACATGTACCTGTGGACTAATCACCTGTGTATCTCACATAAACACAATTAGTCCACCTAGGTTGTCACTCAATTACCAAAACCACACAAGGACCTTTCACCCGCACCGGGCCAGATCTTCACGGTTGGA